GTTTTAAAGTATTATGTTTAAAACATGCTCTTGCCAATAGAACTTACTTTGATAATATTGCTTCATTGTTACGAATAATAATTCGCATTCTGATTCGTACTTTTGTTGATTAATAGTACTTAATATTTCTGATTTTTACTTAAAATAAAAGTGTTAATGTAGATATAATGTTGTTTCGACATTATGTCAAAATGTCGTTTATGTTACTTTCGACAGTTCAACAATCAATACATCACGTTTTCATTAATATATAATCGTTTTATAAAAAATGTTCGAGCATGTTCTACTAATAAGCCCTGTCGGGCATGTAAGACTAATAAACCCTGTTTCATCTGAGGAAACTTTTTTGTTAGTTTAGTGTAGGGATGACAACCTTTTTGAGTGAAGGGCCACTTGCACAGCTGGTTGACTAACGAAGGACCCCAGGCATATTTAGTCATGATAGCGGCAAATATGTTAATTTTTATGTAAACATTAGTGTTCTAAACACTTAATTTTTTTACCAGTAAACTTAGAAAACATATTTGCAGAAAATTAAATGCTTTCAATTACTGAAATTCCATTAAAAATAATACTTTTTAAAAACAATTCTCCCTTTTTATCAATAAATGAGATTATATACATATATATATATATATATACACACACACACACATTTTTTATGAGGAGGGCGCAGCAGCTGCAAATGAATTGATATACAGTCTTGATCTGAAAATATTTATGTANATATATAAAAAAAAAAAACTGTTATGCTCACAGAATGAAAGCGTAGAAATAGTACATTCATACTTTAATGAGTAATAAATATTTTAATTAATGAAAAATTCATAGAGTTTAAACAAAAAACAAAAATAAAAACAATATTACAGTACGAAATAAGATTTAATATTTATTTGGTATACTTCATGTATTATTTCTATTTCTCGAAATATTAAAGGTTTCATGCTGCAATAACATTGTATTTAAATATCGGGATATTGAATGCATGGCGATAACTACCGAAGCAAAGACGGAAAAATAACTTATATTTACGAGGAAATATGTTAAAACTTTTTACTTTGTACGTCTGCATTTTGATTCAAAATCTTTTAAACATTTAACATGAGCATAGGTTTATAAAAACAACGGGAGGATTGAGTCCGAATTACTCAGATAATAGAGAGCTCACCTAACACTGTGAATAACATAACATGCGAATAGTTTTAAACGAATAACGTACCATTATAAATGCCGTTATTTTGTTTAAGTTACTCAAGCCCGTTATGTTAATTTTTTCTCATTTTTAACCAGTGCGCTCTTACTAATTCCGAAAATGATTCAACACGTCAATTTAAAGAAAAGCCGCAGTTTTGTGATAATGAATGCGTTTGTTTCAACTCCAATACTGCATAGCAAAAATTGAGAATTCTTCATTGACATTTTTATCTATTAGGCACATTTAATTATTACTTATATAATCTTATTACTGATATTTAGAATGCTGAAATTTTACCTTCTGACTGGAACACTGCCATTATGTGCCCAATATATAAAAAAGGTGATACCATGGTTTGTTCTAACTACAGAGGTATAAGTTTGCTATCTACTACCTACAAAATCTTGTCAAACATTTTATTTGAGAGACTTATACAGTATATAGACCCTCAAATTGGAAACTACCAATGTGGTTTTCACAAGGGAAAATCTACTAAAGATCAAATATTTGCACTTGGACAAATTTTAGAGAAGACCAGGGAATTTGGTATTACCACACATCATCTCTTTATTGATTTCAAAGAAGCCTTTGACAGTATAAATAGAAATCGCTTGTATGAATCCCTGGTTGAGTTTCAAGTACCACCAAAACTAATTAGACTTGTAGAAGCAAGCATGTCAAACACCGTATGCAGAGTCAAACTTTTGGGATCTTTATCTGAAGAAATTAAAGTAAATAATGGAGTCAGACAGGGAGACTCCTTATCCTGTCTTCTTTTTAATGTTGCTCTAGAGAAAGTTGTAAGAGATGCTGAAATCAATATCAGAGGCAACATATTTTCAAAATCTATTCAAATATTGGCGTATGTGGATGATTTAGACATCATTGCAAGAACTGTTCCTGCATTAAAAGAAGCTTTCTTTTCTTTGGAGCTTGCTGCTAGGGATATGGGACTAATCATCAATACCGATAAGACCAAATACATGCCTGTACTTGCTGAATTAAATTCTAGTGAATCCTATTTGGAGATTGGTTCCCACAGGTTTCAGACTTTTCAGAATTTTACATACCTTGGTTCAATAGTTACTGCCGACAATAACATAGACAATGAGATTCGGAGTCGTCTAATTTGTTCAAATAAGGCTTTTTATGGTTTAAAACGTTTTTTCAAATCATCTCTTTTATCAAAAAATACAAAACTTTTACTCAATAAAGCATTAATTAGGCCAATACTTACGTATGGCTCTGAGACCTGGAATCTAACTCAAGCTGGTGAAAATAAAATTGCCATTTTTGAGAGAAAAGTTTTGAGGCCATCCTTGGTGGGATAAAAATAAATAATTCCCGGAGAAGACGATATAATACTAAACTGTATAAAATCTACAGAGAGCCAGATATTGTGAAATTCATGAAAAATAAATCGAATGAACTGGGCAGCTCACATTTTCAGAAGGAATGATGACTCAAATTTAAAGAAAATCCTACTACACAAACTCCTAACGAACAGGAAAAGAGGTAGACCCAGGCTGAGATGGCTGGATTTAGTTGAGACTGATTTCCTTACTCTAAAGGAGAAAAACTGGCGAACAAGTGTCAAAAGTAGAGAGAAGTGGATTCGAATTCAAAGGAAGGCACTGGCCCATCCTGGGCTGTCTAGCCAGATATGATGATGGTGAGGCACATTTAAAAAAATATTAAATAACTACTTAAATGTCTAAGTTATTTGTCCGTTATTAAGCCCATATAATTCTTTACAGGAAGATGCCACGCGTGGTTTCAAATTACAACTTTGTTTCAAATGAATACTGTGACTCTTAACTGTGACTTTTAACTGAGGCTTTTAACTGTGATTTTTACTGTGACTTAAACTGTGACTTTTTGTTAAAATTTTTTTCTTGGAGAAGACTTTTAAAAGCGCTGTTATTGATTTTTATCTAACTGAAAAATCTCTCCACTTTTTTGAAAGATTAAAAATTATTTTTAGTTATTAGTCTATTTTGAAGTCTAGACTATTCTTTTTTAGAGTGAGGTAATATATGAGTTTAAAATTGGAGTCTTGCTATTTTCTTTTCTTTGATGAAAGATCAATCATCCTTAAGCTATTTGCGAAAGTAGACAAATAGTGAACTACGCACTAAATATTTTATAAAACTTCGATAGAAAATAGGTTTGAGCTCTTTTAACTATAAATAGTAATAACTTTATTCGATCCCATAAAAAATACAAGCATGGTTTTGCAGCTTAAGAGCAGTTATAGTTAAACGCTTTGTATTATAACCAAACTATTCAGAAAGAAAATTATACTCGGCACTTACAGGAATTAGTTTTTAAAATGGAATATACTAGATTTTTTGCTGTTTTCTTATTTTTGAACAATATAAATATTAAATAAGTTTCTTCTAAAATATTTTGAGTATCTAAATCTATATTTATAAACTATTTTTTTTTTAAATTTGAGAACATTTCTCAATTTACTCATAGCAATGACATTTAAGAAATAGTTTTTTTCGTATTAAAAACATCCAAAGAAATGATTAATAAAGTTAAAAGTATGCTTCATTTAATATTCTGGGGTTAAACACATAGCATGTATTTAAACAGTATGTTTAGTGTTGATTGTAAACAATTTAAATTTAAAACAATTTACTTAATTACAGGTACCTACTTACAATTATTTATAAAATGTCTTTTAATTACTCTTAACCTGTTAAATGACCGTTTATCTACAGAAATTTAAATGACTCTGCTGAAAATGTTTAATTTCAATTGTAAGCTGTGTACTTTTACTTACAAGTTAGCATAAAAACAAGTCATTTTTTGCGTATTAAGGCATGAAATATTTTATTTGATAAACTAATGGTAATAATGTATGAAAGATCTTGTACGAATTTTGTTATTGATATTACAAGACGACAAGCATGTGGGTGTTTTGTTTCTTAATTAAGCAATGATTATGATTTTGGGTTAAAACTAAAATGTCCTATTTATTTACTTGAATAAAGCGTTTTGCTTCTACTTGACTATTTACGATAATAAGTTTAATTTACGTTTGATTACTTCTAGGGTTTTTGTCCTATCCAAAACACCTCGGGTGGGTTTTCTTAAGAAAAAACCACTAAAAAAATCTAATAAAACTTGGGTCAAATGTTTTTTTTTAGTTTTCTTATAAACATAATCAAAATGGAAAATAAAGAATAAGATAAAAGAGAAATAGATTTAAGAAATATTTATCTTAAATATATCGATTCTGGAATTTTCAAATCAAAACTAACTAATAGTTTAAAGAGTAATTCTTAAAACTACTGAGAAACTTGTTAAATAAACTGTAGTTCTGTAGTTAGTTGGCCTGCAAAAGACTTACATTATAACTAAAAAAATGAAGCTATAACTTATGAATGTTAACAAATAAATAAAACAGCGAACAGCATATTTCTCTGATCCCAATATTATGATTTTATTCTTACTCAAGGAGTCTTTTATTAATATCAGCATGAAAAGATGGTTCTACATTAAAATTAAAACTTTTTTTATTTTAATTCATAACTTAATTATTATTTTCGTATGAAAGTTTTCTTTTTATTTAAATTGTTCTCTTTTGAATTAGAAATTAAATCTAAAAAGTGTTAAGCTTGGTAATATCTTAAAAAACCCAAAAAGGCCCAATGAAACCCACCCGGGTTGGTTTCCTTTAAAAAAAAATCCTGATTACTTCTGATAGTATTTTGATGTTTTATTACTTTTATTAATATTTTAACGTATGATTATAGTCGGTAATCATGCTTAATTATATAATGTAGTACCATACCTCCTAATGAGTCTTCTCTGGACTGACTTGCTGAGCTCGGAAGATGGTGACTTTCCCACTCTTGTAGGATTTCTGGAAAAGAAAAAACATTCATTAAATTTTAAAGTAAGGTTAAAAATGGAAAATAATAACAGTATTTATTGACAGTTTGACGTTATTTATAGTCACAAATTTTCAGTTATCTTAACCCCTTGACATACGAAGACGTCTGGGAAACGTCATTTGTTTCTTATGTCAAAACAGTAATTGACGTGTCTCAGACGTCTTCAACACAGATATGCCAACTTGCTCCGGACAGCAAATAAATATTTTAAAGTGGTAGTTTATCAATTGTAATTCTTGGTTTAATAAATTCAATTCAGTAGATTTTTAGTCACCACTATTTCTAAATAACTAGTGGGCTGCGCCCCCTGCTCGCTAACCCCCGAAAATTGCTACGCAATCTTATATGGCTTACTTCGCAAACCAAGCTCGCTTCGCTCGCTACTAACTTAGGTACATTGCAAATGCACAAAATTCTAAGAATTCAAAACAATCATTCAAATCCATATAAAAACTTTTTTTAAAAAAAAATTACATGTTTTAAGTAAATACTAAGTCATTAAAATAAATTTGAAATTCAATTAATTTTGAATTTGAGTCAAATAAATGACATGTAATTCGTTAAACCTATTAGAAATGTGCTATAGTATAAAATCTTAAGATAAAATTTCTAAAACTGATATCTCTTTAAAAAGGTTAAAATTTTTGGCTATAATTAAGTCTATTAAAAATTGAAATAAGTGAATTGCAATGGAAAAACCTGCATAAGCAAACAAATTCTAGTAAAACAAATAAATTCGTGTTATAAAAAAAAATCGTCAAATAAATTCGTGAAAAAGAGCTTTCGACAAAATACTAAAATAGAGATCTATCGACAAAGACTACTCACTTCTGCCTAGCTTATGCTCTCTCTGGTTATTTCAGTTTCCGTTTTTAAAGCGGTATAGGTTGAGCCATCGCAGCTAGATTTGGCATGCGACATTTTTAGCGGCAATCATTGGTCGATTTTCTAGCGTTGCCGTTCGGGGAGTTGTAAAGAGGCTTTTTCGTCGCCGTGTAAGAGAAATATATATATGAGTCGCTCAGAAGCCAATGCGGTTAAGTCCAAAACACAACAATTGAGAAAATTAATGTTTTTTGATACATTAGTTTTTAAAATTCCTGGTTTATTAATTTAATTAGAAAAGTGTATAAACTCTTTTTTCGAGGTGTAAACTCTGCAAGAAAACAAGATATATACAGGATGTGTAAATGAAAACGCAGTATTTATTGAAATAATGACAGCATCTTAGAAATTTTAGGACTTATACCTTTTGGCAGCTGAAAAAGATAAGAAATATATATAGTCTACTAGCATAAACGAACTTCAATTTTTCACAATCATCACTAAATACAGTGACTTATAGAAAATAAACTGTTGGATTATTTCAAAAATTGTTTTTTACTTCAAAACTAAAGTGGCATTTTTCTTTGTTTTAGTAAATGAAAAAAAAATTTAAAAAAAATAAAAAATACCACATTTTAAAAAAAATACTACGAAAAATACCATACCCCTTTTTTTGGTGAAAAAATAATACCGTAGTATTAAAAATACTACGTCTGGCAACCCTGGTTACCATGAATTTCCTGTTTTTCAGTGTTACCAACAAATATCGAAAGAAGAAGAATAATTTAATTTTTATTTCANAATACTACCGTAGTATTAAAAATACTACGTCTGGCAACCCTGAGTTACTATGAATTTCTTGTTTTCCAGTGTTCCCAACAAATATCGAAAGAAGAAGAATAATTTAATTTTTATTTCAAAGTTTATGTAAAAAAATATTGATAAAAGGTGGACTTATTCACAATGGCTTCTGAAATTATTATACAATATATTCAGAAGCTATTAAAAAAAGGACTGTCTGACCTAGAAAAAAGTAACCAACGAGTAAATCCTTTAATAACTAAGAAGATTATTATTTATTTCATCAAAATTTCCAAAAATCAGAAAATGTCAAAAAATGGACTTAACCGCATTGGCTTCTGAGCGGCTCATATAGATTCGTAGGCTTATATAATTCACCACTTTATAGTAGTTATGTCATGCTATACCTTTTAAAAAGCAAGCAAAAATAGTCAAATATTTTCAAAATTTAGTTTGCAGTTATTTGTCGTTTTTTTAAAATTATTTTGGCGTGTCCGGAGCAGTTGGCATCTCTGTCAACATTCCGTTACGAATTGTTGTTTACGGTGCAATCAAAGATCATTTCTGCATCAAGAAATGATATATCAAGGGGTTAATAGTTTTCATTTAAAGTATAAACACTCCTGTGTTTGGTTTCAATATCCACTCTATACGTTTTTTATTCGTGCACGTGTGCGTTATGAATATATGTTATTGTTAAGAGAAATCTAGTTTGCAATAATTTAAAAGCTTTTCTAAGAAACGGTTTATCAATGAATGTGGTTGACTTGTTTATTAGAGAGACGTAGAAGTCAAGAGATGAAGGATTGATATTAAATAATAATAACTATTCCTCCACGCGAATTGTTCAGAACTATATTTTTCTTACAAAGTTAAAATATAGCCAATAGCTAAGGTCTCTTTCTTGTATGAACTCTCCATGAAGATGTACCAACAGTATGTTGAATAATCTATATATATATTTCTCTTACAAGGCGACCAAAAAAAAGCCTCATTACAACTCCCCGAATGGCAACGCTAGAAAATTGACCAATGATTGCCGCTAAAAATGTCACATGCCAAATCTAGCTCAGGTGGCTCAACCTATAGCGTTTTAAAAAACGGAAACTGAAATAACCAGAGAGAGTATTCTCACCAAATACTATTAAGCTAGGCAGAAGTGAGTAGTCTTTGTCGATAGATCTCTATTTTAGTATTTTGACGAAAGCGCTTTTTTTTACGAATTTATTTGACGATTTTTGATTTATATCACGAATTTGTTTTACTATTGTTATTAGTTATTCATTGAAAAATGAGTCTCAGTCGTGCTGTTACGCTTTAAGATTTTATACTATAGCACATTTCTAATAGGTTTAACGAATTACATGTCATTTATTTGAATTCAAATTTATTTTAATAACTTAGTATTTACTAAAATGATGTAATTTTTTTTAAAAAAAAGTTGTTATATGGATTTGAATGATTGTTTTGAATTCTTAGCGTTTTGTACATTTGCAATGTACCTAAGTTAGTAGCGACCGAAGCGAGCTTGGTTTGCGAAACAAACCATATAAGATTGCGTAGCAATTTTCGGGGGTTGGCGAGCGTTAGCGAGCATTGGGCGCAGCCCACTAGTTTCTTATATTTAATGACTTCCGCTGATACAACTATTAATGCATTGTTATGTTATTAAATCTACATAAATAAAACAGAATGTTTATATGTGTGTGTGTATATTTGTATCTTAAAAATATACGAAATCACATCCGATTCGCACCCACCACAGTGCTGACTTAAAAATATCCTTAGTGATAAAAATGATCATATGTTAGAGTCTTCTTGTCGTCAGGCTAACCGCGGGTGGTTTCCGTGGTTTTCTTCTCCATATAACGCAAATGCGGATTAGTTCCCTCATGAAGTCCTCCATGAAGGGAAATTTCTTACGATGCTTGATCCAGGAGTTCCCTAGCCTTCTGGATTAAGTCCAAAAATCAAGGTTACGGAGTTGAACATCGGTAGCTGTAAACTCAAATTTGGGTCGGCTTCAACGACAGTTATGAAACAAAATGCCAGTAGAATGGACCAAGGTGGCTTAGGGGATAGGGGAATCGCCTCCAAATGAAATGATCCAGGTTCGATTCTCAGTGGTGGCTAGGTGATACGAATTCTGCTCCCGGCTCGCACCGACCACAGTGCTAAAAAGCTGAATTAATGGAGAAATAATATTTATTCGTAAATGAGAATCGTAAAATATTTCCAGATTATTGTTATATAAATATAAATTGAAATAAAATATAATTATATTTTTTTGATGAAGATATATTGGTTTATTTAATGGAGAAAAGGTGACTTAGAGAGTTAGATTTGACTAAGAGAACCATAAAAATATCTCAGTTTTATTATTGACGAAAATTATGCTTAATTAATTTTAGTACTATGTAATACTGATATAATATTAAATGGAGTTTTTCAATAGGCACTAAATGTACCATTATTGGTATTAAAATATCTTCTATAGGTATCGTGGAAATAGTTTTTTTACGACCTATGCAAATGAGTAAGTACCGTCGAAAAATGTTGATTAAATTAACTTTTTACTATCAGGAATTGACTTTGAGCTACAGATTTATATTCTACTTTGACTTCGAGCTATTATGCCAAATGATTCTGAATATAAAAAAAACCAAACTCCCTGGCATTACAGTCCATGTTGGATGGCCTCACCAACAATAGGTGATTCTGAATATAGTTAATCTTTATTTTAATGGAAATAACTTGTTTCTAATGTAATCTAATAACGTAAAGCCACCGAGATGGGTAACAAATAATAATAAATAAAAAAAATGGAATTCTTTTAGCTTAATTATCTGAATCGATCTAATTAATTGTCTTTCAGTTTCATGCGTGTTTTCGCAGTGTTGATCAATACCGATTTATTGCTTATTTACTTTTTTTCCACTCCGTTCGAGAAACGAGTTTTCAGCTAGTCATCAAATATAATTCAAAGTTAACTGAAATCAATATGGAAAAATAATTGAAAATTATTCACTTTGACCTAATTGCTTGCAAAAATCTTAACTCGTAATGATCAATGTAATAAATATTTCGTCTGTGTGTGCTAATGGAAAATATTGTGCTTTGAATTCAATAATTTAAGTGCATGTCACTTTTCTTGAATTTTTTTTAATTTTATATAGTGCACCACTGTCCAGTTCTTGTAATCGAGATAAATTTGTTTAAAAAAATAGTACCTTGCCGCAATTGATGTTGATTTGGTAAGTACAGCATACATCTAATTCATTTTATTTTAAAACTTCAATTAAAATTACTTTGGGCAAAATTTAAATGATAAAAGCTGAGCTTG